TGGTATGCCTGCCACTTTGCTTCTTGAAATTCTGCCTTCCCCATGAGAAATCAGTCCCAGATCTCAAAACTTTCTTATAACTTGTCATTCTGTAATACCGCAGGCTTCTGTCAAAACAGGAGTTTCCTCTTCTCAGGTTTTAAAAGTTCCTGAAGAATAAAGGGCAGGCTCTGATTTTTTAGGTGTTGGGAAATAGGTAGACGATGCAATTCCAGTTAAGTTTCTCTAACAAGTGGTGTGATGGGTTACCTAAAAGTATTGGCATTAAGTGTGCTTTTGTCCATATCCTGGTTTTACCACTGCTTACGTAGGTGACCAGGCAAAGTTACTTAACCATGCAATGACTAAGTTTCTTCACTCAGAAAATGAAAAGGATAATATTATTAGTTTTGTTGGGAGAAATAAGAAAATATATGTAAATCTCCTAGGACGGTGTCTGGCACAAAATGATCATCAATAAATATTATTGTTATTACTATGACGATGCTGATTAACCTAACAGGAAAGCAGGCAAGTTTTATATGAAAAAAGAATATTCCTTCTGTTTACAGTGAAAGTGCTGGGTAAACAGCAGTACAATGATCATGTTAAATGAATTGAGGCTATCAGTTACTTTCTCATCTTCCTCATGCCATATTTCTTATCTTCCATCTTCTCTGGGATCCACAGTTATTCCCATTTTTTTGCTGTTGTATAGCATGTTTAAACTTTTACTGATAACACTTCACAAGTCTCAGATATGTAAAAATGAAACTTTATAACTAAACGCAGTCCAGCTTGTATCAGGAAAAATTATCTATGGTCTGAAAAATAGAGACAAGCAAACCATGGGTGCAACGATGCCACTGCAGAGTGACACCCAAGTGTTGGCATTTTCTAGTGGACCCTCCAGGTATCATCTGATTCTATAGGAGTGCACACCTTTGACTCTCTATTGACTTATTTTACAACTCTGTAGGTATAGATGATAACTTGTAAGACAACTGACAGTAACATAAGTGATTCTTGCTGCTAACAATGTAAGTGAATTTTTGGCCAGTAGAAATACAACTCTGCTCTGTAGAAAAGATAACCCAAGCATCAAAGTTTATTACACTAAAATATATTAATGTTTTGCATCTACCAGCAAATTCATTTAAGCACTTCTGATTCTATATGTCTACAATATAAAATGTTTTTCATATTCTTCTTTGAAATAGTCTAAATACCTTTCTGGCTCATTAACAAGTTGAATAAAATCTTTAATGTTCATTTCATATTTGAGAATTTTTAACTATTTGAAAACAATACTTTGGCATTTTCACTGCTGGAACCTAAATTGCCAAATAGAAGTTAATTTTTGTGTTTTTTTTTTTCAATATAAGTCTGTTTTTCAATGTAGTAGATTCTGTTTCTCAATGTAATCGATTTAGGATTTAAAGTCAGTCAAATCAAAACTGATTCGCACCCCCCCACTTTTTTTTTGAGATAGAGTCTTGCTCTGTCACCCAGGCTGGAGTGCAGTGGCATGATCTCGGCCCACTACAACCTCTGCCTCCTAGCCATTCTCCTGCCTCAGCTTCCTGAGTAGCTGAGATTACAGGTGCATGCCACCACGCTGGCTAAGTAGAGACAGGGTTTCACTATGTTGGTTCAGGCTGGTCTCAATCTCCTGACCTTGTGATCTGCCCACCTTGGCCTCCCAAAGTGCTGAGATTACAGGTGTGAACCACCATACCCGGCCCATTATCTTTCCTATGTTATTTACAACAGGATCTGTCCTGATGGATATGTATGTTATATTCATGGCTGTGGGTAATAGGAATTTGATTAAATGCTAACCACTGTTGTGTTTTCTGAATGCTGTGGATTAGGCATTAGCAAACTATGAAACTACGCACTCCAGCCAAATGCTGCCCACCACTTGCTTTGTAAATAAGTATTGGAAGACAAACTACATACACTTATTACATATTGTTGAGAGCTGCTTACATGCTACAATGACAGAATGAAATAGTTTTGATAGACTGAATGACCCATAAAGTCTAATTACTATCTGACCTTTACATACAAAGCTTGTTAACCCTTTTATTAGTTTCTTAGGGCTGTGATACCTGCATCACACCAGCTGCCCAGGGACCTGAAAACCTGCCTACATGTCTGGCCCACCATTCCCACTACCAACATCTGAGCAAGATACCCAGAGGCCCAAGAATCAGCCTTCGAGGACCCACTAATACCAGGAACAGCAAGAGACACTCTTGGGCCTAGGAATAGAAACACTCAGCCCACCACTTCTACCAATTGGGCCCAAAGACAGGCATACCTGGCATCCTAGACCCCAGCAAAACTTCTTCGCCAAGGCTCACCTAATAACCATACAAGTCACTGAGGAAATCACAGATACCAATGACCCTGTGTACACCGAGGAAATCATACAAATACCACACTACCACAGGCACCCCAAATCAAAGCATCAACTACATATGTATATCTTCAGGAGAAAATCCTCCTACAAAAAAGCAATTTCAAAAAATTAGCAGAAGCAACTGTTATATGAGCTATGCATATATTAATGGAAGGACACAAAAACCATGAAAAAGGAAGGAAATGTGACCCGCCATATGACAACTGTTCAGCAATAGATCCCACTCGAAAGGAAATCTTGAAATGCCAGATGAAAAATTCAAACTACAGAAGCTCAATTAGATGCAAGATAAATCTGAAAACCAATACAAATAAATCAGAAATCAATTCAGGGTATGAGCAGGACATTTCCAAAGAAGATGATATCTCAAAAAAAATTCCAGAACTGAAAAATTGATTGAAAGAACTATAATACACACTTGAAACTTCAATAATAGGCTAGACAAGCAATAGAGAGAATCACAGACCTTGAAGACAGGTCTTTAAAAATAATCCAGTCAAATTAGAAAAAATTAGCCTTAAATGTAAATGCACTAAATGCTCTAATCAAAAGACAAAGACTGGCAAATTGGATAAGCAGTCAAGACCCATCAGTGTGCTGTATTTAGGAGACCCATCTTATGTGCAAAGACACACACAGGCTCAAAATAAAGGGATGGAAGAAGAGTTATCAAACAAATGGAGAGCAAAAAAAAAAAAGCAGGGGTTGTAATCCTAATCTCTGATAAAACAGACTTTAAACCAACAAAGATCAAATGAGACAAAGGCATTACATAATGGTAAAGGGATCAATGCAACAAGAGCTAACAATCCTAAATATATATGCACCCAATACAGGAGCACCCAGATACATAAAACAAGTTCTTAACAACCTATAAAGAGACTCAGACTCCCAAACAATAACAGTGGGAGACTTTAAGACCCCACTGTCAATATTAGATCAACAAGACAGAAAATTAACAAGGATATCCAGGATTTGAACTCAGATCTGGACCAAGCAGACCTAATAGACATCTACAGAACTCTCTACCCCAAATCCAGAGAATATATATTCTTCTCAGCACCACAACACACCTACTCTGAAACTGACCACAGAACTGGAAGTAAATCACTCTGCAGCAAATGCAAAAGAATGGAAATCATAACAAACAATCTCTCAGACCACGGCACAATCAAGTTAGCACTCAGGATGAAGAAACTCACTCAGAACTGCACAACTACATGGAACTGAACAACCAGCTCCTGAATAACTACTGGATAAATAATGAAATGAAGGCAGAAATAAAGATATTCTTCGAAACCAATGAGAACAAAGACACAACATACCAGAATCTCTGGAACACAGTTAAAGCAGTGTCTTGAGGGAAACTTATAGCATGAAATGCCCACAAGAGAAAGAAGGAAAGATCTAAAATCGATACCCTAATGTCACGATCAAAAGAACTAGAGGAGCAAGATCAAACAAATTCAAAGGCTAGCAGAAGACAAGAAATAACTAAGATTAGAGTAGAACTGAAGGAGACAAATACACCATACTTCAAAAAAATCAAATCCAGGAGCTGGTTTTTTGAAAAGATCAGTAAAATGGATAGACCGCTAGCCAGACTAATAAGAAAAAGGAATCAAATGGTGCAATAAAAAATGATAAAGGGGATATCACCACTGACCCACAGAACTACAAACTACCATCAGAGATGACTACAAACACCTCTATGCAATTAAACCAGTAAATCTAGAAGAAATGGTAAGTTCCTGGACACATATCCTCTCAAGACTAAACCGGGAAGAAGCTGAATTCCTGAAAAGAACAGTAACAAAGTCTCAAATTTAAGCAGCAATTAATAGCCTACCAACCAAAAAAAGTATAGGACCAGATGGATTCACAGCCAAATTTTACCACAGGTACAAAGAGGAGCTGGTAGCATTCCTTCTGAAACTATTCAAAACAATAAAGAAAGAGGGACTCCTCCAGATAATCTGGGGACTTTCGCCAAGATGGATGAATAGGAACAGTTCTGGAGTGCAGTTCCCTGTGAGAGCGACATAGAAGGTGTGTGATCTCTGCATTTCCAACCGAGGTACCAGATTTATCTCAATGGGACTGGTTGGACAGTGGGTGTAGCCCAAGGAGGGCAAATTGAGGCAGGGTGGGGCGCTCTTTCTCCCGGGAAGTGCAAGAGACTGAAGGACCCCCCCATCCTATTCAACAGAGGCCATCAGGGACTTTTCCAGCCACTCCAGCACTCTGGTTCAACAGTCTACAGACCAGAAGATTACTGCCAGGCCAGTAAGTGCCGTGGGTTTCCAGCACAAGTCTGAGCAGCCATTTCAGCCAGCACCATGGGTTTCCAGCACAGGCTGGCACCTGGAACGCCTGTGAGACAGAGCTGCCCAATCCCCTGCAAAAAGGGGAGCTCAAGGCAGGGAGCCAAGTGATCTGGCTTGGTGGGTCCCACCCCCACAAAGACCAGCAAACTGAAACCCTCTGGCTTGAGAATTTCACAGCCAGCACAAGCAGTTTGAGCACAACCTGGGACGGTCAAGCTCACTATGGGGAAGGGCATCCGTTATTGCCGAGGCAGTTCTAACCTTACCTGTGTAAACAAAATCTGGAGGAAGTTTACACAGCAGCTGGACGGAGCCTGTGGCAGCTCAGCAGCACCTCTGCAGGCAGACTGTGACTAGACTTCCTCCTTGCTGGCAGGGCATCTCTGAAAAAAGGCAGCAGCCGGTCAGGGACTTATAAAGCCCTACCTTCCCAGAACAGAGCACCTGGGAAAACGGGTATTTGTGAATTCCTGCAGCAGACTTAAACATCCCTACCCAGCAGCTCTAAAGGGAGCAACGGAGCTCCCAGAACAGCACTTGAGTTCTGATAAGAGACAGATTGCCTTCTAAAGTGGCTCCCTGACCCCTGTATATCAAAAAGGCACCTGATACAGGAGAGGTCTGGCTGACATCTGATGGGTACACTTCTGGGACGAAGATACCAGAGGAAAGAACAGGCAGTAAACCTCGCAGTTCTGCAGCCCCTGCAGGTGATTCCCAGGCAGGCAGGGTCTGAAGTGGACCTCTAGCAGTCCTGCAGCAGAGGGGCCTGTCAGAAGGAAAAGTAAAAAACAAACAGCTTCAGCATCAACAAAAAGGAAGTCCACTGAAGGACCCCATCCAAAAGTCACCAACTTCAAAGACCAAAGGTAGATAAATTCATGAAGATGGAAGAAACAAGCACAAAAATGATGAAATACCAAAAACCAGAATGTCTTTACTTCTCCAAGGGGTTACAACTCCTCACCAGCAAGGGAACAAAACTGGAGAATGAGTCTGACAAACTGACAGAAGCAGGCTTCAGAAGGTGGGTAATGACAAACTTCTTTGATCTAAAGGTACATGTTCTAACCCAATGCAAAGAAACCAAGAACCTTGAGAAAAGCTTAGATTAAATGCTATCTAGAATAACCAGCTTAGAGAAGAACATAAACGACCTGATAGAGCTGAAAAACATAGCATGAGAACTTTGCGAAGCATACACAAGTTTCAATAGCCAAATCAATCGAGCAGAAAAAAGGGTATCAGAGACTGAAGATCAACTCAGTGAAATAAAATGAGGCAAGATTAGAGAAAAAAGAGTGAAAAGAAATGAACAAAGCCTCCAAGAAATACAGGATTATGTGAAAAGACCTAATCTCTGTTTGTACCTGAATGTGACAGGGAGAATGAATCCAAGCTGGAAAACACTCTTCAAAATATATACCCAGAAGAACTTCCCCAATCTAGCAAGGCCAGTCAACATTCAAATTCAAGAAATACAGAGGACACCACAAAGATATTCCTCAAGAAGAGCAACCCCAAGGTATATAATCATCAGATTCACCAGGGTTGAAATGAAGGAAAAAATGCTAAGGGCAGCCAGAGAGAAAGGTCAGGTTACCCACCAAGGGAAGCCCATCAGACTCACAGCAGATCTCTCAGCAGAAACCCCACAAGCCAGAAGAGAGTGGGGGCCAATATTCAACATGCTTAAAGAAAAGAACTTTCAACTCAGAATTTCATATCCAGCCAAATTAAACTTCATAAGTGAAAAGGAAATAAAATCCTTTATGGACAAGCAATTGCTGAGAGGTATCATTACTACCAGGGCTGCCTTACAAGAGCTCCTGAAGGAAGCTCTAAACATGGAAAGAACAACCAGTACCAGCCACTCCAAAAACATACCAAATGGTAAAGAGCATCAACGCAGTGAAGAAACTGCAACTAACAGGCAAGACAACCAGCTAGCATCAAAATACAGGATCAAATTCACACATAACAATGTTAACCTTAAGTGTAAATGGGCTAAATGCCCCAATCAAAAGATACAGACTGGCAAATTGGTTACAAAGTCAAGACCCATCGATGTAGCTGTTTTCAGGGGACCAATCTCACATGCAAAGACACACATAGGCTTAAAATAAAGGGATGGAGGAAGATTTACCAAGCAAAAGGAGAGCAAAAAAAAAAAAAAAAAAAAAAGCTGCGTTGTAATCCTAGTCTCTCATAAAATGAACTTTAAACCAACAAAGATCAAAGAGACAAAGAAGGGCATTACATAATGGTAAAGGGACCAATGCAACAAGAAGAGCTAACTATCCTAAATATATATGCACCTAATACAGGAGCACCCAGATACGTAAAGTAAGTTCTTAACCACATACAAAGAGACTTAGACTCCCACACAATAATAGTGGGAGACTTTAACACCCCACTGTCAATATCAGACAGATCAACGAGACAGAAAATTAACAAGGATATCCAGCACTTGCACTCTGGACGAAGCAGACCTAACAGACATCTACAGAACTCTCCACCCCAAATCCACAAAATATAGTCTTCTCAGCACCACATCACACTTACTCTAAAATTGACCAGATAATTGGAAGTAAATCACTCCTCAGCAAATGTAAAAGAATGGAAATCATAACAAACAATCTTTCAGACCACAGTGCTATCAAATTAGAAGTCAAGATTAAGAAACTCACTCAAAACCACACAACTACATGGAAACTGAAAAACCTGCTCCTGAATGACTACTGGATACAGAACAAAACGAAGGCAGAAATAAAGATGTTCTTTGAAACATCTGAGAATGAAGACACAACGTACCAGAATCTCTGGGACACATTTAAAGCAGTGTCTAAAGGGAAATTTATAGCACTAAATGCCCACATGAGAAGTGAGGAAAGATCTAAAATTGACACCCTATTGTCACAACTGAAAAACCAGAGGAGCAAGATCAAACAAATTCAAAGGCTAGCAGAAGACAAGAAATAACTAAGATCAGAGCAGAACTGAAGGAGACAGAGACACAAAAAAACCTTCAAAAAAAAAAATCAACAAGTCCAGGAGCTGGTTTTTTGAAAAGATCAACAAAATAGACTGTTAGCCAGAATAATAAAAAGAAAAGAGATAAGAATTGAATAGATGCAATAAAAAATGATAAAGGGGATATCACCACCAATTCCACAGAAATATAAACTACCATCAGAGACTACTATAAACAACTCTACGCACATAAACCAGTAAGTCTAGAAGAAATGGATAAATTCCTGGACACTTACACCCTCCCAAGACTAAACTAGAAAGAAGCTGAATCCTTGAATAGACCAATAACAAGGTCTGAAGTACAGGCAGCAATTAATAGCCTACAAACCAAAAAAATTCCAGGTCCAGACAGGTTCACAGCTGAATTCTACCAGATGTACAAATAGGAGCTGGTACCATGCTTTCTGAAACTATTCCAAACAATACAAAAAGAGGGAATCCTCCCTAACTCATTTTATGAGACCATCATCATCCTGATACCAAAACCTGGCAGAAAAACAACTAAAAAAGAAAACTTCAGGCCAATATCCACGATTTGATAAAATACTGGGAAACCAAATACAATGACATATCAAAAAGCTTATCTATCATTATCAAGTAGGCTTCATCCTTGGGATGCAAGCCTGGTTCAACATATTCAAATCTATAAACGTAATCCACCACATAAAGAGAACCAAAGACAAAAAACACATTTATCTCAACAGATGCAGAGAAGGCTTTGACAAAATTCAACAGTCCTTTATGCTAAAAACTCTCAAGATAACTATCGATGGAATGTATCTCAAAATAATAAAAACTGTAACAAACCCACAGCCAATATGATACCGAATGGGCAAAATCAGAAGCATTCCCTTTGAAAACTGGCACTAGACAAGGGTGCCCTCTCTCACCATTCCTATTCAACATAGTATGGGAAGTTCAAGCCAGAGCCATCAGGCAAGAAAAAGAAATAAAGGGCATGCAGTTAGGAAAGAGAAAGTCAAACTGTCTCTATTTGCAGATGACATGATGGGAATTTACGAGACCCAATCATCTCAGCCCACAATCTCCTTAAAATGATAAGCAATTTCAGCAAAGTCTTAGGATACAAAATCAATGTGCAAAAATCAGAAGCATTCCTATATACCAGTAGCAGAGAGCCAAATCATGAGTGAACTCCAAATTAAAATTACTACAAAGAGAATAAAATACCTAGGAATACAACTAACAGGGGATGTGAAGGGACCTCTTCCAGGAGAACAACAAACCACTGCTCAAGGAAATAAGAGAGAACGCAAACAGATGGAGAAACATTCCATGCTCCTGGTTACGAAGAATCAATATCATGAAAATGGCCATACTGCCCAAAGTAATTTATAGATTCAGTGTTATCCACATCAAGCTACCATTGACCTTATTCACAGAACTGGAAAAAAACACCTTAAACTTCGTATGGAAAAAAAAAAGAGCATGGTGGCGCGTGCCTGTAATCCCAGCTACTCAGGAGGCTGAGGCAGGAGAATTGCCTGAACCCAGGAGGTGGAGTTTGCAGTGAGCCGAGATTGCGCCATTGCACTCCAGCCTGGGTACCAAGAGCGAAACTCCGTCTCAAAAAAAAAAAAAAAAAAAAAAAGAGCCCACACAGCCAAGGCAATCCTAAGCAAAAAGAACAAAGCTGGAGGCATCACACTACCTGACTTCAAACTATACTACAAAGCTACAGTAATCAAAACAGCATGGTACTGGAACCAAAACAGATATACAGACCAATGGAACAGAACAGAGACCTCGGAAATAACGCCACACGTCTACAACCTATCTGATCTTCGACAAACCTGACAAAAGTAATGGGGAAAGGAGTTCTTATTTAATAAATGGTGTTGGGAAAACTGGCTAGCCATGTGCAGAAACTAAAACTGAATCCCTTCCTTACACCTTACACAAAAATTAACTCCTGATGGATTAAACATAAGACCTAACACCATAGAAACCCTAGAAGAAAACCTAGGCAATATCATTCAGGACATACACATAGAGAAGGACTTCATGACTAAAACATCAAAAGCAATAGCAACAAAAGTCAAAATAGATGGGATCTAATTAAACTTAAGAGCTAAGAGCTTCTGCACACCAAAAGAAACAATCATTAGAGTGAACTGGCAACCAACATAATGGGAAAATATTTTTGCAAGCTACCTATCTGACAAAGGGCTAATATCCAGAATCTATAAAAAATTTAAACAAATTTACAAGAAAAAAAACAAATCAAAAAGTGGGTGAAAGATATGACCAGAAAATTTTCAAAATAATACATTTATATGGCCAAGAAACATGAAAATATGCTCATCACTGGTCATTAGAGAAATGCAAATCAAAACCACATTGAGATACCCTCTATGCCAGTTAGAGTGGTGATCATTTAAAAAATCTGGAGACAACATGCTGAAGAGGATGTGGAGAAATAGGAACACTTCTACACTGTTGACGGGAGTGTAAATCAGCCCAACCATTGTGGAAAACTGTGGCGATTCCTCAAGGATCTAGAAATAGAAATACCATTTGACCCATAAACAACTGCTACAAAGAAAATAAAATACCTAGGAATACAACTAACAAGGGATGTGCAGGGCCTTTTCAAGGACAACTACAATCCACTCCTCAAGGAAATAAAAGAGGACACAAACAGATGGAAAACATCCATGGAAGTTTTTCCAAAAAAACCAGGAAGAATCAATACTGTGAAAATGGCCATACTGCCCAAAGTAATTTATAGATTCAATGCTATCCCCATCAAATCACCACTGACTTTCTTCACAGAATTGGAAAAAACTACCTTAAACTTCATATGAAACCAAAAGAGAGCTGGAAACCATCATTCTCAGCAAACTAACATAGGAACAGAAAACAAAACGGTGCATGTTCTCACTCATAAAATGGAGCTGAGCAATGAGAACACATAGAAACAGGGAGGGGAACATCACACACCGGGGCCTGTTGGAGGGTGGGGGGCAAGGGGAGGGACAGTATTAGGAGAAATACCTAATGTAAATGACGGGCTGATGGATGCAGCAAACCACCATGGCACGTGTATACCTATCTAACAAACCTGCACATTCTGCACATGTACCAAAAAACCTGAAGTATATATATTTTAAAAAAATGAATAAAGCCTTCAAGATGTTTGGTGACTGAACTTACAAATTATCAGTTACGCCTGAGGGGTAAGAGAGAGAAAAAAGTTTAGAAAGCCTGTTTAAGGAAATAATTGATGAAAACATCTTAAGTCTAGTGAGACAGGCATCCAGATATGAAAGGCTCAGCAATCCCAGGAAAATACATTTCAAAAAATACCTCATCATGATGTGTTGTAATCAGAATGTCTACAGTCAAAGTGAAACTGCAAAAGAAAAGTTAAAATTAGCAAGAGAAAAGCATCTAGTCACCTATAAAGGAAATCCCATCAGAGTAACAGCAGATTTTTCAGCAGAAATCTTACAGGACAGAAAAGAATGGTATAGAATTTTCAAAGCTAAAAGGAAAAACAAAAACAAACAAAACAAAACACGACACCTGTCAATCCCCAATTTTATATCCAGCAAGAATAAGCTTCATTAAGAAAGAATACCCAGCTAAGCAAATACTAAGGGAATTCAACACCACTAGACCAGTCCTATAGGAAATGCTCCAAGGAGTTTTAAAATGGAAACAAAATGTCAGTATTCACCATCATAAAAACAGATATAGAACTCAAAGGTCTTATAAAGCAAACACACAAAGAAGGAAGGAAAGGAATCACTGGCAACACAAAAGAATTCCACCAAAACACAGACAACCACACAGAGAAAAAAAAATGTATAAACCAACTAGGTAATAATTGAAAATATGACAGGAACAAAACCATATATATCAATATTAGTTTTGAATGTAAGTGGATCAAATGACCCAAGTAAAACATAGACAGTGGAAAGTATTAAAAATGTGATTCAACTATATGCTGCTTATATGAAACTCACCTTATCTGTAAAGACACCCATATACTGAAAAGGGTGGAAAAGGTATTCCACAGAAACCAAAAGCAAACAGGAGTAGTGTTACTTATATCAGATAAAACAGATATTAAGTCAAAACAGTAAAAGACAAAGAAGGTTATTATATAGCGATAAAGGATATATATGCACACGACACTGCAGCACCTAGATTCATAAAACAATTATTACTAGACTGAAAGAAAGAATTAGACAGCAATACAATAATGGTAGGTAAACACCCCACTGACAGCACTAGGCAGATTATCAAGACAGTAAGTCAACAAGCAAACATTGGACTTAAATCGGACTTTAGACCAAATGGACATGTAACAGACATTTACAGAACACTCTACCCAACGACTGCATAATATATATTCTTTTCATAAGCACATGGAAAATTCTCCCAGATAAACCATATATTAGGCCAGAAAACAAGTCTTGAAAAAATAAATAAATAAAAATCTTCTCACACCACAGTCCAGTAAAAAACTGGGAATCAATGCCCAGAGAAACTCTGGGCACCTTAGAAACATGGAAATCAAATGATATGCTCCTAAATGATCACTGGGTCAGCAAAAATCAGGATGGAAATTTAAAAAAATTTTGAAATGAATGATAAGGATAAGATACAGTAACAGCCAAATTCTACATACCAAAACCTGTGGAATAGAGCAAAAGCACTGCTAAAAAGGAAGTTTATACCATTAAATACCTATATAAAAAATGTAGAATGATCATCAATTAACAATCTAACACTGCACCTCAAGGAATTAAGAAAAAAAAAAAAAAAACCAAAGTTAGCAGAACAAAAACAGTAGGAGATCAGAGCAAAACAAAATAAATGGAGGCAAAAACATTTACAAATGATCAAGGAAATTGTTCTTTGAAAGACAAAATTGATATACTAGCTAGTCAAGAACAGAGATCTAAACAAACCAAATCAGAAATAAATGAGACATTACAACTGAACTACAGAAATAGGAAAGGTCATCAGAGACTATACTACCTTATAAATTAGAAAACCTAGAGGAAATGGATTCCTGGAAACAGATAAATTTCTGGAAACATAATACAACCTCCCAGGTTGAACCAGGAAGAAACAAAAATCCTGAACAAACCAATAATGTAAATAGCAAGAATGAATCCATAATAATAAAAAATGTCCTAACAACAACAAAAAAGCCCAAGAGAAAATGTAGTAACAGCCAAATTCTACCAAGCATACCAAGAAGAACTAATACAAATACTCCTGAAACTGTTACAAAACATTGAGGAGGAGGGAATTCTCCCTAACTCATTCTGTAAGGCCGGTATAACATTGATATCAAAACCAGACACGGACACAACACAAAAAAGAAAACAATAGATGGATATTCCTGATGAACACAGACCATAGAAACAAAAATCTTCAGCAAAATACTAGCAAATTGAGTCCAGCAGCACATCAGAAAGATAATACACCATGATCAAGGGGGTTTTATGCCAGGGATGAATGAATAGTTCAGTATATGCAACTCAATACATATGATACATCACATAAACAGAATTAAGGACAAAAATAATATAATCGTCTCAATAGATGTAGAAAAGCAATGTGATAAAATTCAGTATTCCTTCATAACAAAATCCTTCATCAACTAGGCATAGAAGGAACATAACTCAAAATAATAAATGCCATCTATGACAAACCCACAGCCAACATCATACTGAATGGGGTGAAAGCTGAAGGCATTCCCTCTAAGAATTTAAGTAAGACAAGGATGCCCACTTTCTTCACTTCTATTCAACACAGTACTGGAAGTCCTAACCACAGCAGTCAGGCAAGAGAAATAAATACAAGTCTTTCAAACAGGAAAAGAGGAAGTCAAATTATCTGTGATCTTAATCTAGAAAACCCTAAGGACTCCACCAAAAAAAATCTTAGATTGGATAAATGAATTTAGCAGAGTTTCAGGATACAAAATCAAGGTATAGAAATCAGTAGCATTTCTACACACTAACAATGATATAGCTGAGAACCAAACCAAGAAGGTAATTCCATTTATAAAAGATACAAAAAAAGAAAAAAGGACCTAGGAATGTATTTAACCAAGGAGGTAAAAGATCTCTGTAAGGAAAACTACAAAACACTGATGAAAGAAACCATAGATCACACGCACAAAGGTAAAGACATTATATGCTCATGGACTGGAAGTATTAGTACTGTTAAAACGACCATAGTGCCCAAAGGAATCTACAGATTCAATACAACCCCTATCAAAATACCAATTTCATTTTTCACAGAATTAGAACAATCCTAAAATTCATATGCAACACAAAAGCCCAAATAGCCAAAGCAATCCTAAGCAAAAAGAACAAAGCTGGCAGAACTACATCATCTGACTTCAAATTATACCATAAGACCATAGTAACCAAAGCATCAATGGTACTAGTATAAAATGAGACACAATCAGTGGAACAGAATAGAGAGCCTAGAAATAAACCCACATACAGCTAACTGATCTTTGACAAAACTGATAAGAACATACACTGGAGAAAGTATGCTTATTACGTGTGTGACAAAAAAAATCCGTACACCAAACCTCCGTGACATGCAATTTACCCATATTACAATCCTGCATGCCCCTTGAACCTAAAAGTTGGAAGAAAAAAAAGTGGGTTAAAGACATGCTTATACACTGTTGGTGGGTATGTAAATTAACACAACCTCCATGGAAAACAGAATTAAGATTTCTCAAAAAAGTAAAAATAGAACTACTCTTTGATCCAGCAGTCTAAACAAAGGAACAGAAATCATTAAATCAAAACAATAGCCCCACTCCTATGTTTCCTGCAGCACTATTTACAATAGCAAAGATGTGGATTCAACGGAAGTGTCCATTGATGGATGACTGGATCAAGAAAATGTGGTCTCTATGCACAAAGAAATACTATCCAGCCATAAAAAAGAATGAAATCCTGTCTTTTACAGCAACACGACAGAACTGGAGGCCATTATCTTAAGAGAAACAACTCGGACACAAAAGCAAAAACCATGTGATCTCACTGATATGTGGGAGCTAAATAATGTGTACATATGGAGGTGTAGTGTGGAGTGATAGATGCTGGAACTCAGAAGCATGCTGGGGGTACAGAGGGGCAGGGATGAGAAATTACATAATGCACAATGTGCAGTATTCCAATAATGGGTAGTACACTAGAAGTCCTGACTTCACCACTACACACTATAGCCATGTAACAAAATATACTTGTACTCCTTAAATTTTTACAAATTAGAAATAATCAGAAAAAACTTTATTTTTCTAATTGACTACACTCAGGTTTAAATACACACGTCTAAGAGCTGAATAAATTAAAATGAAATTATTGATTTTGACTAAAAATTTTCTTGCATATATATATATATATATATATATACACACACATATATGTATAAATATGCATACTATCTATGTCAACCTTTAGGAAGTTCTTTGGAATTGTTCAGGTACAACTCCAGAGAACCTAGCCCAGTGACAGCATTTCCCTGGTAAAAAGTCACTGAGTATGTCTACTCTTGTAATTTTGTTGTTTAGCAATTCACAGACTTCATCTTTTTCAGCCACATATATCACAATGGTCTTTTTAAAAATTTTTTTTAATTGTGGCAAAATACATTTTTACTCCTAAAATATGTATCTTTTACTCCTCAATTTTGAAAGTGTTCCTGAACCTCTTTCAGGCCAGAAACATTCGTCTGATTTAATATCCAGTTTCAAACCTGACCTCTAGCTAACTTATTTCTCTTCCCAGTAATATTTCTACATGATTTTTGCTGGAGAATTTGATAAGCTTTGGTTAGGTACTACATGTCCATCTTGTTTTGAATTCTGTATCCTCTGTGCCATATTTTGAAGGCTGATAATTTGGTCTTTCATTCTATATCAAATGCAAGACAATGCATTGTGCCTTATGTAGGCCATAAGATAAACTGTTACTGTTACAAGTTAACTATTTTGTGCCCCAAAGACAGACATTAGGCATTTCTTCCCATCGTAAATACTTTTCATTCAGCCAGTTCTATTCTGTACTTCATAGGCTGCTCAAGAAAAAGAAGAACTTCAAAGGGAAGGTGACTGTTTGGATGCTAAAATCAACAAAACTGAAAAAGAAATCTACGCTCTAGAAAACACCCTGCAAGTGCTGAACAGCTGTAACAACAATTACAAGCAATCTTTAAAAAAAGTGACTCCATCCAGTATGTAGTTTAAGTTTTATATATACACATATATACATATACATATGCACACACACACACACACACACACACGCAGTGACAAGTGTATAGATAAATGGAACACCATGAGACACGGAGAAGAACAAAAGTGTACTATGTTTGATTGGATCAGAAAAACTAATCCCTTTTCTTTCCTCCCCCCACGCCTTTTTTTTGGTAGGTGGTTTGCTAGGGTGTTACTTCCATTATCACTTCTGGTTTGGTATGGCGTATCACCTCTCTAGGGTAATTAATTCGAAAAGTGAAAAAAATGGCAGCATATTGCTGCTTTATGTAGACCAAACAAGAAATGGCTACTACATGTCTATAGTGTTTTTCTACCAGTGGATATGAAAAATTTAACCTTTCATAACAAATACTGGTGCAATTTATGTAATACTTTAAAACTGATTTTTACATAGTGCATTGAAAATTTAAACTAAAAATGTTCTACATTCGAGGTGATGAGTATGAGCTACAAATTCAACTAGAAGAACAAAAACGAGCTGCTGATGAAAAATACAGATACAAACAAAGACAAATCAGAGAACTTCAAGAAGACATCCAGGTAAATTCTACAGGCATTTTAGTAATATGCCTTCAGTAAAAGTCAACTATCATTACTACTACTTCTATTCTCTTGATCTTGGACCAAGAAGACAGTTATTTAGAATCTCTTTTAAGGAAGTAGATAGTAAGAGCTAACACTCTCATTTAAAGGAGACAAAAACAAGTGCTCAAAGTCTTAGGCAAATTAAAATCCCAGTGCTAAGCACTGCCAGTTACTTGTTATTAGTTGGTAGATCATAGTTATGATGATGTACCCATTAACCCTTTAAGGAACTTTAATTTCTTAGAGATCACATTAAGATTGCTCCTTAAAGAGTTTGAAAGAAAAAAAAGTCTAGTAGAAAGTAGTTACTAAAGCAAATCACTAAAAGATAAAAGAATGTGCCTTGTAAAAAGGCACTACATGAAAATTGATTTTACTAATAAAGCTGAAGAAGAGATACCGTGAATTTTTGAAAATTCCATTCTGTCAGTTATTTTTTTCCCAAATACCATAAAAATAATTTCCAGTTGAATTACATACAAAATTTGATCCATAAAACCATTATACAGTCGTGCATTGCATAACAATGGGACTGCCTTTGGACGAATGCATCCTTGGGTGATTTTGTCACTGTGTGAACAACCTTGATGGTATAGTTCATTGTTCCTGGGCTATAAATCTGTAGAGTGTGTTACTGTACTGAGTACTATAGGCAACTGTAACACAATGGTACTTAAACAGTTAAACAAATCTAAACATAGAAAATGTACGATAAAAATACGGTCTAATGGACAAAACAGTGGTACACTTGTACAGGGCACTTACCATACACGGAGCTTGCAGGGCTGGAAGTTGCTCTTGGTGAGTCAGTGAGTGAGTGGTGAGAGAATGTGAAGACCCAGGACACTACTGTAGACATGATGAACAATGTACACCCAGGCTACAGTAAATTCATAAAAATCATTTTATTTCTCCAATAATAAATTGACCTTAGCTTACTATAGCTTAACTTAAAACACTTTTAATTTTGTAAAACTTTTTGACTCTTGTAATAACACTTAGCTTAAACACACATTGTTCAACTGCACAAAAATATTCTTTCTTTATATCCATATTCTCTAAGCTTTTTTCTAATTTTTACTTTTTAACTTTTTTGTTAAAAACTAAGACACATACACACACATAAACCTAAGCCTATCCGGAGTCAGGATCATCAGTATCACTGTCTTCCAGCTCCATATCTTGTCCCACTTGAAGCTCTTCAGGGCCAGTAACATGAATGGAGCTCTTTCATCTCCTATGATAACAATGACTTCTTCCGGAATACCTCCTGAATGACCTGCCTGAGGCTGTTTTATAGTCAACTTTTTAAATAAATAGGAGAACACTGTAAAATAATAAATAAATCAGTAATATCTTTATTATCAAGTATTATGCACTGTACATAATGGTATGTGCTAGACTTTATCATGACTGGCAATGCGGGTTTGTTTACACCAGCCTCACCACAAACTGATGAGTAATGTATTGTGCTACAACATTACAATGTCACTAGGTCACAGGAATTTTTCAGCTCCATTATAATCTTATGGGACCACCATCACATATGCAGTCCATCACTGACCAAGACGTGACGTTAAGAGGTTCATCACTGATTATTCACCAACAGAAATAATGTATATACGTACAGAGATAAATGAGTTAAAATTCAATGAACACTTGATAAATGCCAAGTTATAAAAGTCAATTTCTGATTCTAAAAATATGTTAATACTTTTTCTACAGAGCATGGAAAATACATTAGACGTTATAAAACGTTTAGCAAATAATGTCAAAGAAAAATTATCAGAGAAGAAGGCTTATTCATTTCAACTAAATAAAGAAACGGAGGAGCAGAAGCCAAAACTAGAAAGAGTGACGAAACAGGTATTGGTATCTTTGAAAAACTGACCTGTCATATTTTTGAAGTCCCAAATCTTCCTTTATTTATTAAAAATATTAAATTCTGGAAAATAGTTTTATAGAATAACTGACTTTTATTTACCAACAGTGCGCAAAACTCACAAAGGAAATCCGTCTTTTGAAAGACACAAAAGGTGAATCACTGGAAGAACAAGATATCAAACTTCGTGAACTCAAACAGTTTCACAAGGTTATTGATGAAATGTTAGTTGGTATCATGGAAGAAAATGCTGAGATCCGTATTATCCTTCAAACATACTTTCAACAGGTAATATACAGCACCTCCTATTAAATATATCTTAAACACTTCATGAAAATGAAACTTTTATGGCATTCATCATGAAGTGAAATCTAATTAAAAATATTTCTCCTCTAAAAAATAGTAGTACTAATGACTGCTATTGAATATTCCTCCAGAGTGGGTTAGACCTACCTACAGCTAGTACTAAAGGCAGTCACCAGAGTTCTAGATATCCTTCACACACTTCACTGCCATCAGCAAGGTAAGTGGAAGGTTATAAAACAATCTCCTTAATTCCCATCTGTACACTAAGTGATACCAGCCACCTCTGTCACCACAGCTGTTGGGACAGGCCCATGCACTCACTGCTGTGTTCTTTGCATCCTCAGACGTCTCACTAGTCAGCATCATGGAGATTAGATGCAGAAACCGCCAGTAGAACAGGAATTTCGTTCTGACTTCTGCTGGTGTCACTACTTCCAGTATAGCCCAAGTGCTCTGTGATTATCAGCTATTTCAGTAGGATAAAGCAGAAATAAATTTGGGGGCTACATCTAGCATTTGGGGGTAAACTCGGGGGAATATCTTTTAAACCTGCAAGGGCAGCTTAGATGTACAGACATATAGAATATGATTTTTGTGATTAAACCACATTGTGCTATTTTACATAATTAGGATTTGACTTTATTTATGAAGCTTTATTTTGCTAAAAAGGATACATTTTTTTCCTTCTGCAGTTTATTGTTACCCAGAATTCTATCACCAAATGCTTAAACCAACATTCTCGTGCTGTGCTGACAAAAACTTATTAATAATAATCCTGAATTTAGAATTCATAATCTCCTGCATTTAGTAGCTATGCATTAAATTACTATTCCTTAGTCCATGTAAAGATTTCATGAAGAGGCCCCTAAAAAACAGTGCTTAAGTATAAAAAATTTTTCTATGTAATTGAACATCGCTGTACTTTCATAACGTCTATTTAAAACTTATCATTTCAGAATTACATAGTGTTTTTCAAATGATCCCACCACTTCCACTTTACCATCAATATGCTTCTCACTTTTCTCTTCAGCTGAAATTACAAAGGGAATCATTTTAATTATTCTTGCCAGCACCAAAATCCTATTGCCCCCGCTTTCCTCTGTCTTAGAAACTTTTAATGTTTAATGATTCCAACTCTAAAAAACTGATTATAGTTGAAACCATTTTTACCATATAGAAATACAATTAAACCACTTTTCTACTGGTGTGAAACTCATCTCTGTTCATCTTTCTTTTCCTTTTTAAATTTTTTGATATCTATTAATGGTCATTTAAAAAACTTATTAACACTCTTAATATGTACATTTTAAATCTCTTTACTTATGGAATTACAGTACCTTTTGCCAATAATGGAGGGGTCTATACTAAAATATAAACTTTGCATTAAACTTACAATTCTGGCTTTTCTTCCAGGTCATCTAGGAGGACAAGTACACCTACTTCTCAGACTTCAGTGAAAGTATTAGAGCTTAACTTCCCGGCCTCCTCTTCACTAGTAGGCAGCCCTTCTAGGCCAGCTAGTGCTAGTAGTAGCTCAAGTAATGGTAAGAGCAAAAAGAGCAGCAAATAAACATTTTAATCTCTTCTGAAAAAGTTGTAAACACAAAAGTATACTTTAAAATACAAAATGATCCATCCAACACATTTTATCTAGTGGAAAGTGTAAAAACTTAGTAGAAAGTGTAACAACTGATAGTTTTTTAAAAAAGGAATGTTCTCTACTGTTTTCTTCATATTGAAGAACACATTAACAGCAGATTCTTGACAAGGCTACAGGTTATACAAACATAGGGAAAACCCTGTATTTCACTGTAATTTTGATGTTTGTAGTGTTAGAAAATAGTTTGCTTTATTATTTCACAAACTACACTCACTTCTAATGTAACAATCTTTCTGGAAGAAATTTCTAAAGATTTACCCTACTATTATGAGCTTCTTACAATGTTAAAATCTCATTTACCCCGTAAGACACCAAAATTAGGTTTTCTTTATTCAAACTAACTATTTCTCAGACTTTTGGGGAGAA